CCAGGGAAAGTGTTGACATAGAGGCATGCCTCGTGTTGGCATTGCTGCCCCAACTCGAAAAATCAGTTGTGATGAGGCATACCTCGTGTTGGCATAGCCGCGTCCGCCAGAGGAATTTAGGACATTGAGGCCCATCTTGGTTTGGCATAGCCGCCCTAGCCGGGGAAATCGTTTGCAACGGAGTATATCTCGTGTTGGCATAGCCACCCCAACCGGGGCCGCTATGCCAAAGGTTTTATATTTCTGTTTGTTTGCAAGACCAGCTCCCGTCTTGCTATTGTATGGTGGTGGTCAACTACCTCTTCACCATTGATCAAATCAACCCCTCCAACGTACAGCCCTGAGGCTGCCGAGTGCACTCAGCATATGTGAACCAAACTCGATAACCACAACAACGACAAAACTGATCAATGGTTATCATCCTTCAGACCTTCACATCCGGTTGGGCATCATTCATCGATTCTTCTTCACTCGTCGTCATACCCAACGACGCTGTCTCTTCGAGGATTTCATCATTCTGTGCTGCACCACTCGGCGAGGCATTGGATGGAGCTGTTTCTTCATCCACCTCAGCTTGCTTCAGGACAGCCAACGTATGGCGATATCTGAACACCACCACCATCATCATCGAACGATATCCAGGGTTAACTCACAAAGACTCTATTCGCTCCCCTTCCAGCCTGAAAGTCTCCACGTCGACCTTCGACTTCAACGGTTGTACGAAATCAATAGCCGCCTGTCGACACTCCGTCAGCCTCCGCGACTCCTCCAACATCTGTGATCGTATCTGTTACACAAAATGACCGTCCGTTACCGCTCTCCCGCCAACCTGCTTAATCTGGTTCATAGTGGCCTCGTTCGTTCGAGCTGTATACGTATTCAATACGCTTGAGTCGGCCCCGCCAGTACTGGTGGAATCCACTCCCGTTAAAGCAGCGGCTGATGTAAACCTAATAATCCTCATGTGTATATCGATACAACACCATCAAAGCGAGTTCATTAGAAGTGTGAACTCATGCACTCGTTA